GGGTACACTGATTTGCATTCTCGCGAGAAGGCTTTGCAGTGTAGTATTATGATTATCATCCGTCGGTGTGACTTCTCACTTCTAGTCCAGCATCAGCTGGGTCTTTCAGTTACATTTGTTTATGTGGATGACCTTGTATCAGCTACCTATATATTTCATTTCCTGTTTGGTTTTGGTTACTGCAGGATGGCAAGCCAACCGGCCATGAACAATGCCAGGCCTCCAGTGGTGCAGCTCCAAGGACAACCTGTTGCTCAGAAGACTGGATGCTGCTCCTCTTAGATTCAAGTATTTATTGGTACTGTGTTTCCTGCTCAATGGTATGTAAAAGTAGTTGTCTTTTCTTTCTACTTGAATTCTAAACGACTGATCACTCCCAACCCGCTTTATCATGATTTGCTTTTCATTTTGGTTGCTTCAGATTGTTGCTAAGATCCATTCTTTTCAACTACTTGATTCTAAGAAGGCATGTACAAATCAGAAATATTAGTTGCAGTTATTTCTTTTCTGTGTTGCATCTTTCTATCATCATATATCATCTTTTGGAAACCTTACATGGCATGGCTTAATATGTATGGCACATGGGTGGATGCCAATGCAATTTTGCTTCGCAAAACAATTTAATTTTACTTGGTGGTTGGGCTCGTCGACCTGTGTCTTGGCTTTTGTGGCTTGTCTTACGATCAGGATAGAAGAAACGGATTTCCTGATATGAAAAGAAATGCACAAAATAGTGAAAAAAAAAATTATATTAAATGTGGTTACCAGGATGAGAGGCAGCATGACAACTAGACCCAATCATTTGACAACGTGGTGACTACACGTCTCATTAGTGTCAAGCGTTAACAATGCAACCAAGTAAAATAAATCCAGCCAAGTTATTAATCCCAGTAGGTTGCAAACCTTTTTATACCATAAAACTTGCCTTTCTTTGAGCACCTACTAGAACTAGAAGCGTACAATCCATTCCTTGTGATAGAAATAGAATATTCGTAACTTTATTCTTCATGTTGATCTCTTTTGGTGATATTCGTATGGTTTTTATCAAACATAAAAAAGTTCTTTTGAGGTGATTCAAATAGAACCAAACTAAACACCTTCAAATGTTGCATACTTGAATGGTTAACAAATCAGTTACTGGGGCCCATTTTTTCAAAGTTACGTATGATTTAAGCATCAACTTTTAAGCCATTTTCATCAACCTTTCTTATTAATTACGATATATGATAATATAAATCAAATAAAAAATATTAATAAGTAAAATAATTAGTTAATCTTCAAATTAATGGTTTTTTATTTATTTTAGCTCCTTCCACAACAATATCTGCGCATGCACATCCATGCATATTCCTTGAACATCATTTATCACTTTCTTTTGCGTATGCATAAAGACGAAGGAAGAAGCAGATTTTCAACCATTATCCATGTTTATCCATCTAGGGGTGCATATCCAACTTGAGGCTAAGCTAGGTAAACTGTTTAGTTAAAATTTCGAAGCAATACAGAGCTCCATCCTTTGGGCCGGTGCTGTTCCGGTGTTCCCCCTGCAAGTGTTACAGGCTTATAGCTTCCTTCCATACGACATACGGCCTGGAGAAGAACTCGAGTTGGAAAATATGACCAACAGTACAGTAAAATAATCACGTGGGGAGAAACTTATCGGTCTCTACGACTGTCACAAGTAAATAACCTCGTGTAATCCAGTGTGATGGGAAGGTCAATATACATCTAAAATCTCATGCTGGGACTGAGCCAAGAGGATTTCAATCTTTGGATATGGGTTTGATAGACAAAGTAATAAATACCCCGAAGGCAAAGGAGAGAGTAATCAACTTTCAACATCCCCTTGTGACTGACCATATCGGAACGCCTTAGACCGACCGACCACCGGAGCTCATAGCAAGAGATGACATCTCATTTTCTCCTCGCCAATACCCAATTTGCGGTAGTTATCAAAAGTTGGGGGCATCAAGAATTCCAAATCATCATATGAAGAAAAGTAGATAACACAGTAAATGAACTCGTTAAAACACCTAAAATATACAATTAAAAAAACGTTCAAGGAATCTTTTCGTACAGCAAAAACTCGTTATTCCTGTTATACTGTGTCACTCACCAACTCCTCGTAGATCAAAACAGAAGACCCCAAAACAAAGGCAGATAGAGACTGAATGGAATGAAGAGAATAAAATCTCACTTTCCGCCTAAGGTTGGGAATTGCCCGGGATCTCCAATTGAAGGAGCCACCTCATTGCTCGTCATGTTGCCTCCACCAAATCCACCTTTAGACCCTCGTCCACCACGGCCGCGGCCTCGGCCTCCAGGATTATAGTACTTCTCCCCTTCTGAGGGCTTAAGGAATTCATTTATGCTCACAGACTGCATCAACAAATTTGAGTAACAAGTCCATCAATATGATAAAGAGGATTGAATCTTTTGCGATAGTATATTCTTAGATAACTTCAACAAGATAAAAGTCGCATTTTAACAGGTCAATTAGAACCAATAACTCAAGATTCAAATGCTTGAGAAACATCTAGCAATAATCCATTAGACGGGTTGAATTTCGTCTCTCCCATGTAAAGGGATATCTTAGTATTCAAAAAACCCAAAATTTTCTGGTGCACTCCGTGATAACTATCTTATCTAAATGGAAAAAGGAATTAATAAAATCTTGTGAATCAGAAGTTCAAAACCTAGAACAGTCGGACTAGTATGATCAAATCCTACAACACATACTATTACATGGTATAGCCAATCCCTATTAGAGAGTGGATTAGCTGAACTTGATAGCAGTTTTACATGCTGTGTTTGCACCACACAACCATAGATACAAGAGATTGAGTAATTGTGGACCATATGCACTTTATGGCTAGCATGGCCCATATGATCCAACATCCCGTAAAACAGTTATCAAATACAGCTAATCCATTCTCATTAAATTGATAACCAACCTACTTTCACATAATATTCCATGGCTTAAGTTAACAAAAAACATCAATTATGATATAAAGACGGAAGAAAGAAATATTTTTGTGGGCAAGAAACTATAATAATGAAATGTACGTAATGAAAAATAAGATTAAAAAGAGTCACAGTAGCCGAGAATCTGGGCCTCTTGGACTTTATTCAGCAACTCGAGGGACTTCATTAATGCCCCAAATATACTGTTAACCTAAAATTGTTGTACCCCAAAAAATACTGTTAACCTAATATTCAGCAACTTGAGGGACTTCATTAATGGCCCTGGAGAATGAACCAGAGGCTAGTTTCAAGTAAACCATATTAAGCTGGACAAATCAACTTTATCTAAGATAAAAATTAGACCACAACTCCTCAAGCACATTAGAAAAGAAGAAGAATACAGAAGTAACAAAATGGAAAACGGGTTTACCTTTTTGGCTCTCTCCTCTTTGTCAGTATTATCCTTCCTTTTGTCCTTATCCGAGCCCTAAAATGAAATCAAGTGACAAACAAATTAATACATTAGCTTTCAGCCTGGTTATATTTTAAGAGTGGAACAAAACATATAAGTGGTTGTAGAAGGCTTCACCAATTTAATGAAGACATCATCATTTCCTTTTTTGTTTGCAAGTTGCTGCATGGATTCAAAGTCTTTGTCGAGATTAACCTTTCGCTCCTCAGTCTTCAGTGCTTGCAAAGCCTTGCGCTTCTCTTCCAGTACCTTCTCGTATTCATCAAGTGTCATCTCCTATCAGCAAAAAACAAAGATCATGATTACCTATTATACCATGCAAAATGAACAAGAGGCTAGGTTCACTTAAAAAGAAAGGCTACCCAAGACCAAGAAACAAGAGAACTATTGATTATAAAAGAAAAATGGATTAATCTCACCTGTTAATATTAAGTGAAAAAAAGGCCTATAAACTAATAATGATTAGAAAGGTTCAGTTAACACATTATTCGCTCATTCCCCCTGACCATTTTAAGGGCGGGTTTGAAGAGACCACAAAAAAATAGATGACAGGAATTTGGTAATATCCCAAATAATAACGTACTGTCATGCATGATTTTCATCAGCAACAGGAGAGTGTTATATTTCAAACACATCATACCATATTAGTTCAGAACACAAGTAAATTACCCAAAACAATTTTTTATATTTCTTATGCCTGTTGGAATTTTGCATTACTTACAAAATATATACATGGAATAATAGACACCAGGCATTTACAAAATGTGCAACACTTGTAGGAAATATTTACCAACTTCAAATCTATAGGTCCTTGTTGAAAAAGAATGTTAACATTTTCAGCACAGGAATATATTTCTGTACCCTAGACTCAAAATTAGTTTGGAGTTGGTTTGTAAGGAAAACCATGCATTAAAAAGTAGTTTGGAGTTGGTTTGTAAGGGAAAAAAAAGATATCTACTAATCTAATATGATGATAAAAAATCTGTTGAAAAAGATAACAAAAGTCATCCACCATTCCAACTAAATCAATTTTACCAAGGTAACAGAAATCATTCACCTTATCTTCAGGCTCCTTCTCTTCTGGTTCATTTGTGGGATTCTCCTTGTTGGCATCACCAGCTTCTTCCTCTCCCACTGGCTTCTCAGTTATTGCAGTCTTCTCAATTGAAAGCTCCTCAGTCTCCCTAAATCGGGGAAAATATAAAAGGAAATAAGAGACAATCAATGGAAAAAGGATGAAAACAAGAAAAACGAAATGTGTAACTCAAACAGAGTGAGGGGATGGCATTACAGAGATATCCAGAACCATGAAAGTAAGCTGATGATGAAATTAAAAGACTTACTGAACAAGTTCATCAGCTTGCCTTCCCCAATTCCCACGACCAGCTCCTTCACGTTTAATCTCATTTCTGCAAGCATGACGACATTTGAAAAACAAATGAGAGGACAAACACAAAGAAACATCGAGAAGACAAAGATTGCACATGCTCTATTAATACAGAAATATGTAAAACATGTAAAAGGAATATTCACCCGCGTCCAGTCCCACTACGACGTTCAAATACCCTCCTAGGGCGCTCCCCCTCACCCTCTTCTCCATTACTGAATCCACCTCGCCGACCACCGCGGTAAGGACCCCGTGGTCCACCGTAGGCACGCCTTTCTGAGGATTTTGCAGTATCTCCATCTTCGGGAGCACCATATCCACCAGAGACTCCATTATTATTAAATGCATTCTCATTATTGGAGTCTCTATTGAATCCACGACCACCACCTCGGCCACGTCCACCACCCCGGCCTCCGCGAGAAGATTCGTTCTTAGACTCCCTTACTACTCAAAAAAAAGGAAAATAAGAGAAATAAAACATGTATGCACAGCCACGGATATACAGGTATACGATATTCATAGAAGAAATTATTTCAACACAATATCAGCATGCTAAATTGCCAACTTCCGATACCAGCTCATTGTGTAAGATAAAGACACCATAATGAAACTTAAAATGGCATTAAGATCTAAGCAAGAAACTGCCTACTTAAACTCTTCCAAGGACATGAAAAGCCTAGCTACTAGTAGAGGACGAAGAGATTGCGCAATAACGAAATACTGGCTCTATAGAACCCAAGGATGAAACCGTGAAAAAAAAATTAAAAAAAAATAAATAACCTAACAGGAGAGCTCAGTATTTTCTGGTTCCAATCACGGAGAACTAAACAACTGGCTCAACTTCTTTGGCCAGAGCTATAAACATTAATATACATATATACAAGTTTACATCTTCGTTTATCCCAGTCGAACAGAAGATAAAAATAAATGATCACTAACATATGAAACAAAATCTAAAAACAATAACCCACAATGAGAAGCTTCTGAATCGGACTAGAATGAGGTGGATACTGCCTCTAAACCAAGTCAAAGAGAGGAATTAGAATAAATAAGACACCAACGATGAGAACAAATTCTGATGCTGCGACTCTTGTCAGCATAAATAAATACATAATCATCTCCAAGTGTTCTCTCAAAACTCTCCATATAACAATAAGAGCCACGCGTTGCTTCCACTCTAATGTGTATCGTACGAACCACGGAAGTAAACAGCAAGGGGAATCCACATAAGACGCCAATAAACCTACTCAATTGAATAAACAAACAGCAAGAAAGAAAAATAGTTTCATATACTACAGACGGCGGTGAGAGAATGAATGAAGAAAAGTTACCAGCCTGAGTTGGTGGGAGGGGCTTGGTGGGCAGCTTAGCCTGCTTGGCCTGCTGGGGGGCGGCGGCTTGCGTCGGAGCTAGGGCTTTTTTCGCGGCCACCTTCTGCTGCTGGGCAGCGATCAGCAGCGACGGGTCGTCGTTGTCATCATCTCCCAACAAGTCAAAAGGGTTAGCGGTTGCCATTATGTCCCGACGGAGAACAACCCCAACTCACAGAGACTGAAACTGCGATAGGAACCGCAAAACCCTAGTTGTTCATCAACTCCATCGATACAGATCCGTAGCAGACAATCACCGAGACCTTGTTTTAGGGTTTTTCTTTTAGAAATGAGGCAGCCAGAAACCCTAGCCGCAATACAGGAAAGAACGATAGAGTAGTGAAAGTGGGGAGCTAAGAAATGAGAGAGAGAATTGATAAAACCTAATCTCAAGCCGCTATTTATCGCTCCCTCTCTCTCCTTCTTGTGGATTTATGTGTGAAATGAAATGCTTCACCTGATTTTTTTATCCAATTTTGCCTCCTCTTCTGGGGGAAAATTATGAAGATGCCATTGTACGATTATCCAGATTCCAGAAGAGATCGATCAGAGCCGTTTAATTTTATAGATCGCTTTCTTCAACTGATCATAGCCAGTAGATAAAATCTAAACCGTAAACCGTAGCATTCCGCTGTTGGTTAAATATCAACCGCACGATCAGTAGCATCTCGTTGGGGAAAATGTTTCATATTTGTATCCTGTACTTTGTTTTAAAATGTGTTAAATGACATGTAAAAGGATATAAATACCCTTCAAGTTATGAAAAAGTGAAACAATAATAATTTTGATATGACCAAGATAACTATGTTTAACTTCTGTTCACTTTATTATATCTTTTCACCAACCCTCCAGTGTCCAAACCTAAACCTAATCCGTCTGGACCAATTTTTTTTGCCTGATCATCCAATCCAACACTTAGCATTTCGATTGTATTTTTGTAAAATATTTTGAAAATTAAAAAGTTATTAATTTAAGTTAGGAATTTGTTTTATATATTCTAATGTATCACTTTTTTATTTAAAAAGAAGAATAATAAAAAGAAAATCAAAATCAACATGTAAAGAAAACTTAAACTTGATTAACGCTTTTTCTATTGTTTTGGGCAATTGATTAATATTTTTCTTACCGTTAGTGCCCGTTCACATAAAGACAAAAAAGACTATTTTACCCTTTAGTCTTATCCAAATTTTCAAAATAAAACAGGAAAAGAAAAAAAAAAAAAAAACTTTGATTCATCAAACCCTGTTGGAGCTCCTAGAATTGGTTGACACTTTAAGAATTTTCAATTGTGTTTCTTAAATCAACTTTTGAAATAATAAAATTCTAAAAAACTTTTGTTCCTTTTCGGCCTTCTATTGGATCGAAGGAAAGCGGGTGTTTCAGAGATAGGTAGCCAGATTTTCAAGAAAATAGTTGTTTCCAAAGCCGCACCGCTCGTGGACTTCAACTTCCATTTCCAAATCTCAAGGCCTACATTGCGGGTTTTGTTTATAAGGGAGATATGTGTGTACGCTTAGCCCCCTTTCAGCAATGGCAAACTGAAAAAGAGTTCATGATCATGGGTTGCTGAATAGGGGTTTAGTAGAAAATGGAAATTGTAATGCAGGTGCTTCAGATATAGGATTGAACGAAAGCGACAAACTGAGAAAGAGGTTTTCTATGTATTGAAGGAAAGCGGGTGCTTCAGAGATAGGATTTTAGGAAAGCGGCAAACTGAGGAGGCCTTCTATGGATGAAGGAAAGCAGGTGTTTCAGAGTTAGCCAGATTTTACAGAAAATAGTTATGTTTCCAGGGTCGCACCGCTCGTGCAATACAATTTCCATTTCCATATCTCGAGGCCTACGGGTTTTGTTTATAAGGGAGATTTGTTTAAGTTCTCCAGGAACTTATATAGATTGCAGAAAATAGTTTTGTTTCTAAGTTTTCAGGAACGTTGATTTCTATAGTTCCATGGAAATTGGGACGAGGGAGGAGTAATATTAGGTTTTAAAAGAAATTTAAATACCATGTAGTCTTAGATATATACGGGTTTAGACGGAATAATAACGGATGTTAACGGTAAGAAAAGTATTAATCGATTGTCAAAAATAGTAAGAATAGTATCAGTCAATTTTCAAATGTACATTTAATCAATTAACTAAACCATTAAAAAATTTACCCAAAAATAAATTATAGAAGTTTGTGTAAAAATGATATATCAATTGTGATAAATGAAAAATATTAAAATGATAAAAATTTTTAAGAAAATGAGAATCATGTCCAACCCATAACATGCTGATCTAATCATTGCGGTAATGAAAATTATATATTATTAATGATAATACTAATATCCTAGAAAATGAACCATAATTTTTATACAATTAATAGATAAAAATGTAAAAAGATAAATTATAGAAGCTTGTGTAAAAATGATATATCAATTGTGCAAAATGAAAATTATTATTAATGATAGAAAAATTTTAAGAAGATGAAACTTAGATGGGTGATGAGTTAAGGTTTTTTGCAACCCAAAACATGCTGATCTAATCATTGTCATTGCACATCGGTTGAGTTAAGGATTTTTGCAAATAAATGATTCAGGTTAAACAAACCTAGAAACTTAGATGGGTGATGGGTTAATCAATCCAATCAGCTGTTTTAACTAAATCGTATTTGAAACTCAGAATTCGAATTTGAGATTTGACATAATTTGAATAATTCATTAGCATTACCGCTTGAATTCGAATGTCATAATTTGAATATAGGGCTACCAATGGGTTGGGTCCTGGTTGAATTAGAACTGACTTTACAAGAAATATTAAGAACCTGGAATTAAAATAAACTTAATAGCGTGTATAATTTTAAACTCAGAACTCAACTGACTAATTCATAAGACAATAAGGTCTAACCCGATGGATTCGATTATAATAAACCTAATGAAAATATTATTGATGAAAGTTGATTTGACTCGACTTGCTCATGAGAGGACACGTGGATGTAACCTGCTGATTGGACGATGATTTGACACCTTGTGCCACCTCAACAAGTTAGGGCACCTCGGCTCACCTCGACAAGACCGAGGACCGAACAGCTCATGGTAGCCCAATTTACCGAGGTGACATGTAGCAAACTTCTAGAAGCAAGCCAACTCTCTCCGAGCTCTTCGGGATCACACTACACGACTATAGGTCTTGCCTTCATCCCGCCCGAATCGGAGGGACACGATAAACTTTATCATCTAAGCACGATATCCACCTCTTGGTGCGGAACAGACTCCTAACAGCACGCGTTGAGGATCTCGGAGGTGTTCCGTGAGGTGCACGACATTCCATATATAAAAAGGTACCAACCCCAACAGTACAAGGTACACGCAATTTACTGCTTACTAGCTCTCATACTCCCAAGCTTTCAACTCGCACACAACCAATTACTAACTTAAACATCGGAACGACCATACTGGGTTAGCCACCCCGGGTTCTCTGATCCTTCCTGTCTTGCAGTTCGACCGGCTAGCTATGCAATCGACGTCTGAGCTGCCATCAAGCTAGGAACAACCAGATCACGCACCAACAATTGGCGCCATTTGTGGGAAACGCTACCCAAAATTTAAGTTCCAACTTTACTTCTTTACTTTCTACAATACTTAATGGCATCGTCAAGCAACATCGACAAGGGCATAGACATGTGTGTTACTAAGGGGCACGACCAACCTGCACTGAACCTTGAGACCCCCTCAGTGATGATTGGCCAGTTCACCATCCCCCTCACCATTTCGGGCATACAAACAATCTACAGCCAGACCTTCAACACCCAATCGATTAGCGCACCTCTGCCTTATGTGAGCGCCGCCTTCCCAGTCCCATAACCTTTCATGGTTCCTCCCGAGGTCGGAGCGCAACAGTTCCATGAGCTGATGCAGAGTGTGTGAATCAAGCAGATCCAAATGCAGCAAATTCAGTAGTTTCAGCACTACCAGTACCAGCAATACTATCAACAACAATTCCCCCTCTTCCGCAGAATCAGAACCAAACTTAGAACCTACAAAAAGGGCGCCAGTCTCCTCCCCAGGATGCGAGGCTATATCGGGTCCCCACCCCTCCTCGGGGCCAAACCTCACATCGGGACCTAGCAATAGGTCGGCACACACCACCACCTCGCCAAGTGGTGGACTAGCGAAATCGCCCCCAGAATAGCCTTCAAAGCAAGAATGATCAACAACAACACTATAATGATGAGCATTAGATCAGTAACCACCATCCCAGGGTAAGAAGCGCAGACTTAGTTTGAGACCCCTCTAACCCTCGCAACAGTCAGCATCATCCTTGCGAGAATGCTAGCAATAGAGACCAACTTCCTCTTCGCGACAATGTTCAAGATCGAGAGAATAATAGGGTGAAACTCAGGCCAAGACCGAAGTCAACAACACTAACCAAGATGCAGCAAAGAAGCGACATCATCGCAGAGCACGCTGCGCCTCGGCTAAAATCAATATACCAGTAGCAAAAGAGAAGGGGAGGGAAGAAGTGAGCTCAGTGGCTGCACATCCGGCTCTTGTCTTGTTGAGCCGGCCTTCCCCCCTCGCCGCAGAAATCATCTCAGCCCTACGGCCGAGAGGCTTTAAGATGCTCACCTTGGAGACGTACGATGGGAACTCTAACCCCAACGACCACGTTGATAGCTTCCAGTCCCTAATTTTACTTATCGAAGTAGATGAAGCAAGGCTATGCATGGCCTTCTCGATAACATTCAAAGACATGGCCAAATTGTGGTATAGGAACTTACCACTGGGATCGATCAAGAGTTGGGCACAATTTGTGGACCTACTCACCGTTCACTTTATCACAAGTAAGGAGTGTTTGAAGTCTGCGACAAGCCTTTTGAACATGGTCCAACGAGAGAATGAGTCTATTAGGAGTTACATCAAGAGATTCAACGCATAAATTTTGCAAATACCTAACCTCGACCGCGTCGTGCAACTCACTACGGCCTAGAAGGGGGTTCACCATGCCGATTTTCATTGGGATCTTGGGTTTAACCCTCCAAAGACCATGGAGAAGTTCCTCGACGACGCCGACAAATTCACCAAGGCAGAGGAAGCCCTTGGGTCCCAGTTAGAGCTACACCAAGGCAAGAAGAGGAAGAGAGAAGATGAAGGTAACAACAACATCAAGCACCGGCAACGAAAGAGCAAGTCGGCAAAGCAAAGCAAGTCGCTAAAGAAGTCACCACCTCGGGGTTTTAGGTCAGATCGGCAATTTAGGACCCCTCGCATTCAAAGGTCCAACTACGTAGCCCTAAATGCAAAGCGAGGTGATATTCTGATGGTGATAAAAGACACTTTGCTATGTCAAGTGGCCGCCCAGGATGCGAGGAGACCCGACAACCAGAAACCCCAACCTATACTATCACTTCCACCGCGATGTTGGGCACAACA